CACTCAGTGTAGTGCAGTCTTGAAATGCTTTAGAAACTTAACTTTTTTGTTTTAAACTTTAAACTTTTGTTTAACTTAACTTTAAAAAGGTACGTTTACCTTTCAGAGCATTAGCTGGGGAAGCACGGAGCTCAGTTCACGTTACCTAAAAACCTTGATAGGTTGTCTATGCTGGATTCTGAGACGCTGCTGTTAGTGTTTCTGAAATGCCCGAGTTTACCCAGTTCAGAAAAAGCTTATTTGTGTCTGCTTTGAAAGCCATTGCTGTGTCTGCATTGTAGTGTAATCCATTTAGTTCACTTCAGATAGGAGCTTGTTTTCCTAGCGTAGGCATGAGAGCTGGGTGATGTGGATTGGAAAGAGCATATACATTCTGTGAATAACGGCACTGCATCCTGTAACATGCAGTGCACAATTTTTCAAATAATGGCCACAGGAACAGTCTAAGAGATCACCCATTTGAACATTTTTCCCTCAGGCTGCACAGCTTATTCACAAAACCCCCAAAGTTACATATGCTTTATTCAGGCCTTTACATGGCAGATTACTTAGTCATTAAAAAAACAAGCACTGATGACACTGAAGGTGTTTAGCAGTTTCAGTCCTGAAAGGGAATCAATAAGTCATATTCTGAGGAGAGAGATGCACTGAATCAGGATTAGAAGTGCCAGTTGGTGCTACTGCTTCCAGACTTGCCAGTGAGTGTTCCTCCAATCACTATTTGACTGAAGACTCCAAATGTTTTTTTTGGTTTAGTTTTTAATTTAAAAAAGCCTTTCTCCATCAATAGGCAGGCCCTGGAGCCGCACAGACGAGAGACAGAGATGTACTTTCACAGAATCACGGAAGGGCTGGGGTTGGCAGGGACCTCTGGGGGTCATCTGGCTCAACCACCCCCCCTGCTCAAGCAGGGCCACCTGCAGCCGGTTGCCCAGGACTGTGTCCAGACAGCTTTTGAATGTCTCCAGGGAGGGAGTTGCCCTCTCTGGGCAACCTGTGCCAGTGCTCGGTCACCCTCACAGTAAAAACCTTCATGTTTCCATGTGAGCAACAGTAATTTTACTTAAACATTTCAATGCATGTGGGGTTGATCCTCAAATGCTGCTCCACTTTAATGTCAGCTGAAGTTCGCATGCAGCTTTTTCAGTTTCATGTACAAAGAAAGAAGTGTTTCTTTAATGGAGTGCATTATTTATTCTGGGCTATGCTGAAGGAGGGGATCTCTCTAGAGAACAGGTAGTGGTTTAACTCCATGCTTTTTTCACTGATCTGGTGAGAGACATTTGTATGTATCTTAATGGACCCATTTCCAAGCTTTCACTGTGGATTTACGAGGGATACAGTTTATGCAGAACACTTACTGAAGTCTCAAAAGACTGAAAGTATGAATCTGGCTAACTTATGCTCGGTTAATTTTTGGTGATGCCTGCTCAGTTGAACATAATGCTTTAGCTCAGAGACCTGCTTCCCGAGAGAGCAGGAGGACAGCAAAATGTGAGCTTTCACTGTCCCCAGCACGTGATGAGCAGGGTGAGGTTGAGGCAAGATACCTTTAAAGTCCCAACCTAGGGAAGAGTCCACCATTTGGGAAGCCTTGGTCTGTGCCTCCAGCGATTGTAATCAGCCTGGAGTTTGGCATATGTGGCTAACAGTTGCTCTTTGACCTCTTGAACTAAAACACCGCAATAGTTGTCCAGCCAGGCACTTCTAGTGGGGAGTCCAAGTTCGGTCATTTATCTGCTATTGACTGCTAGTTCCTTGCACAGATTGTTTTGAAGTTGCACATAGTTGAGCCTCCTACTGAAATCCCTTGCTAAGTGATGTGGGGAAGGGGTTACCTTTGCTATTTGTTTTCTGTTACCACTATGCCATTGCAGAAGGAATGTGGTAACAAGGTATCTGATGGTCTTTTTTCCTGAAAAGCTTGAAAACGAGATATTTTGTTTTTATTTACATTATTTCTCCTTGACTGGCGGAGTATGTAACCGCTTGCCGCGTGCTTGCTTGTTCATATAGAACTAGCTGCTGCATATGTTTGTTTTTTTTTGTTTTTTTTTTCTTCTGTTTTTTTCCAGAGACAATAGAAACAACACTGAAGCATTCACTTTGGAGAGTGAAAGCTCCCCCCTCAAACCTCCCCCTGCTAAATATCTTCATGGGCTTTACAAACAAGAAAAATAAGCTTAATTTGGTCCAGTTCTCCCCTCAAGCAGTACTTTCTCGCTAGAGAGGTTTAGAGCAACGCCACTTGTCTGTGCTCTCCCATGTTGCATGTACCACTTCTTTTCCAGCTGATGTCCAAATGTGATGGAAACTCCAGATAAGAAAAGTAATGGCAGATGTTAGAGGATGATGCTTGAAAAATGATGAGTGATTTGAACTCTAGCCCCCTAGTAAGGGGCTGGAGAGTACGGAAAGAAAAGCAGGAGAGCATGGAGACAAAAGTGGCTGAAATACAGTAATTTAGAGGCTGATAAATTAACAGTGATACAGAGCAGGTTTCTGTGGATAGGAGATCAACTTTCATCGCCCTGTGGGACACAGGGGACAGCTTCAGTTGAAAATGCCTTTCTGAACACCAGAGCTCCTAACCACGCGGCACGAATTTACTGAAAAGCCAAGCTTTCATTCATTCTGCCACTCAGGGAAGAATTTTGTAGGCAATTTTGTATGATTTGTAGGCAACGCTGGCCAGCGTGGGCATAGGGTGGCGATGCACCATCTGCATCTTGCCCTGACAGCTACTTAACGGATGCTGGTGATGTCCATAGACACACCAGAAGCTGACGGCTTGCACTGCTCAGGAGTAGGGCAGCCACTTTGTCCCACGCACACCAGCTCGGCTGTGTGACCAGGGCATGGCCACACTGTTTCAGGCTTAGTTGCCTGGAAGCCTTGTTCCAAGGCGCAAGAGGGAGGAATGGGGGTGAGGAAGGTGATGGCGGAGGAATCTCGCCCCATACCTGCCCTGAGGGCACTGGGCTCTTCGCCAGGCACTGCCAAGCAGCAGAGCGTGTTCGTGCATGCATGGCTGTGTGTCTGCGTGCGCATGTGCGTGCATGCGCACTGCGCAGTGAGTGCTTTGCTGGGCTCGTGTCTGGCAGTGTGGGGCCTCCAGTGCTTTTGCGGGATTAGGTCAGTGGGCTCAGCTTGTTTCCCTCTTCCTTCCATCCCCCCACCCCCGAAAAAAAAAATTTAGATGCCTAGGGGCTGTTATTTTGGACTGAAGATCAGCTCTTGGGCATGTGTGCACATGGATGTGTATGGATCTAGCTTTTACATTCTAAACTGTTTGCTAAACAGATATGTCTGTCTCCTATCTCTCAGGGTTAATGTATCCATGTATGTAAAACTTAGACACTCATCAAATAGATGTTAAAATATAAATTGTTGTATCTTATGTCCCATTAACAGGGAATGTTGCAGGAGGGTGACTGCAGGGTGCACCTGCCTGTCGGTTGTTCCTGTGGGCCTACTCTCCTAAGCTGCTTCTGAAGTGGTTTGAAGCAGCTGGTAAAGGTAGCACAAACGCTGTTGCTGAGCTGGTCACCAGGGGCTGCCTGTTTAATGGAGAATTGATTTTTTTTCTTCTTTGTTTCCTGCCTAAGATGGCATTAGATTGCAATTTGATTGCTAGTAATTATATGGACTTTACTGAAGACACACACATCTCTTTCCTTAGACAGGTTTTATGAAATGCTTCAGTTAAAAAAAACACTGTATAATGCTGCTACGGAAGCTGTAGCTAGTTGTGGGGGGGGAAGGGGATCTTTAGTCAAAAACTAGTGGGTTTTTTTTATCCAAACCTTTCTGGATAGCTACAAACTTGCTGGCTGCCAGAATGGAAATACATACAAACACACACAGACAAGGTACTTAATGCCTTCTTTGCCTCAGTTTTCAATACTAAGACCAGTTGTTCTCTGGGTACGCAGCCCCCTGAGCTGGAAG